TTATCTTTGGTTTTGGCAAGTTTGATTAAAAAAAGTCTTGTTCACTTTTTTTTTGGAATCTACCTTGTATGGGGTTCGATGAGCATCTTGTATAGATATCTTCTCATCTTTCACGATATCAGGGAAGTTTTCTGCCAACAAATCTTCAACAATTATCTCTGTATTTTCTTTTATCCCCGCCATTCTGGTACTCCAATCACTTGTAGGTTGTTCCTTTTGATAGAGTCCCACATAATTCTTAGGGTTTCTTCATTTTTTTTTATTCTTTTTTCTGATTTTTCCTTAAATAAGTTGATGTCAAATGCTTTATCTTCAATCTCACTAATTCTGACTTCCCTTGCCTCAGTTCTGCTCCTATGACTTTCTATTGTGTTGTCTCATTCTGAAATTTTATTGTTAATCTTCTGGATTTCTGTTTGCTGTCTTTCTGTGGATTCTTGCATCCTATTAAATTTGTCATGTGCTCTTCTATAATCTTCTTAAGTTCCTCTATTGCTTTGTCTGTATGTTCCTTGGCTTGTTCTGCGTTTTGCCTGATCTCTTGAAGAGTTCTGTATATTAATCTTTTGTATTCTGCCTCTGCTAATTCCAAGAAGTTCTCTTCCTCTGGAGTATTTTTTGATTGTTTGTTTTGGGAGCTTGCTGAAGCCATCGTGGTCTGCCTCTTTATGTGATTTGATATTGACTGTTGTCTCTGAGACATCAATAAGTTATTATATTTATTTTATGTTTGCTTACTGTGTCGTAGCTTTTTGTTTTGCTTTGTTTTGATACGCCCAAATAGGCTGCTTGTGTGAGCTAGTTTGATTATTGGTGCCTTTGAAGCTCTAATGTCCTGTCACCAGGTGGTTAGATATGTTACTAGGTATGTGAGCCCAGGAATCCATTTACTTTTCTTGTGTAGATTCAGCTCAGGTGTCCGGATAGTCGGTCACCAAGTGTGTAGTGCAGGCTTTCACCTACAGTCCTAGATTGGCAAAGGTGATTGGAGTAGGCATAGGTATCTGACTGCAGTAGGGGGTATTGCACTGAGCAAGGCAGGGGGCTGACGGCTGCCCACAAGTGTCTGGGAGGAAAGCATGTCCCTGTTCCCTAGAGTGTGTATGTTGGTAGGTTTTGCAGCTGGACTATGGACTCCCAGAGCTGTTGGCTGTAAGGACTGGGAGGCACCACCTACCCTTGGACCCTAGTTGCAGGTGGTTAGGTGGCGTTGGTGGAACCACCAGCCCTCAGGCCCCTGATGTGGGTAGGTGAGGACCCTGCTTAATGGGCAGAGCAGTATTAAATGTTACAAACCTGCCACTCCACCATATAGCTGATACAGAGAAATTACGCTTCAGGTATATGCCCTTTTGTACTGTGCTAAGAAGGGCCTACACTGTTGAAGTGGGCCCACACAGGTCTATGCAGAGATGAAAGGCATTCAAAGTCACTGGAACCCTTTTGCCTGTGCCTAGGCAAAGTATCTGTGCCTGCCCTGAGTTCCCGGTTCAGGGGAGCTGGCAGATTATTTTTTCCTGTTTGTTAGTTTGTTCCTTCTCCACGGCCAGGAAAATGGCTCAGGGCACCTGGCGGGTCCTACTTCCGGCCCAGGAGACACGGCAATCACTGAAGCCAGCCCAGGACCTGATGCAGAGTGGGGAAGGAGCAGGTAAACGATAGAGAAGTTCTTCCCAAAGGGGGTGTTTTTTGATCCTCACGATGAGTTAAACACACGTACTTATCTTTTGCTGGTTGAGCGCCACTTTTTACTGGCTCTGGAGGCTTGAGCAGACTCACCACTGCTCGGTCTCTCTCGACATGGAAAATGAGTTCCAAATGCAGTGCTTGTCTCACTGCACATGCCAGCCTATCTGGCTCGTAGGGCACTGGCTCCCGCCAGGTCAGGTCTGGCAACTCCTCGCTACTTCTGAACTGTTTCTGCTTCCCCCTACCACTCAGTCCGATTCGTCAACTTTGCCTTTGATGTTCAGGACTCCTAGATTGTCATATATAATTGATTCACTTGTTTTCTCGGGTCTTTGTTGTAAGAGGGACTACCGGAAGCGTCTGACTACTCTACCATCTTGGCGCTGCCTCTGAGGCTTCAATTTCTTGCCACACAGACCTCTCCATAGTGCTGCTGAGTGTGATCAGGACGTGGCAGGTGGCTTCCCCCAGAGTGAGTCATTCAAGAGAGCAAGGCAGAAGCCCCAATGTCTCTTACAACCTAAACGTGTTGCCGTCGAATTGATTGCATCTCATAGCTACCCTATCGGACAGAGTAAAACTGTCCCATAGGGTTTCCAAGGAGCAGCTGGGGATTCCAACTTCTGACCTTTTGGTTAGCAGCCGAGCTGTTAACATTGTGCCACCAGGGCTTCGTTTACAACTTAGCCTTGGAATATTATTTCTGCAATATTGGTTACACAGGTCAGCCCTACCCAGTATGGGATGGGAGGCCACAGGGGTGTAAGTCAAGTAGGCACAAGAATCACTGGAACCATCTGGGAACCCGGCTACCACATAATCCAACACGAAAGTAGTGAATTTATTTTTAAAAATGGAGTTTGTTTTAAATTTCAAAAGAAATAAATATTGGTTATATAAAAAATACAAACAAGCAAAACAATTTCTCTAAATACCTCAACTCTACATACAGTTTGAAACCATCACATTTTATGTGTAGGTATATATGTTCTCTAACTTTTCTATTTTAAAGACTTTACTGGTAGAGACTTTCTAAAGAACATCTGACATGCTTTGAGTATATTTTCTTGCTATTTTAAAGTGTTCAAACATGGATCTCCAATTATATTAAAGGGCTCTTCCCCCTCTCTCCCCACCCCCTCCCCCACCAATGAATAAGCAGTTTTTCTTATTCTGCTGGTGGGCCAGGGAGTTCTCCATAATACCCATCGTTGAAGGCTGTGTTTTTGGCAGGGTCCCCACCCGAAGAAAGCCCTTGGAATTTAGAGGTGCTTTGAATGGCTGGGCACTTGGAATTCAGAAGGCATTTAAACTCTTAATTCCCCTAGAAAGCTGGCTAACCCATTTGGGAGAGAATTCTTATATGACTGGCTCTTCCAAGCTAGCACAATTGGGGCTTTTATGTAAAGGTACCCACACCTTAATTCCCTTCTGAAATCAGAGCACCCAGCCTCTAGGATCACAGTCTAGCTGGTTCTGCAGGGAGCCCAGTGCTCCTGACTGCCCCATCCCACTTGCTCCAGAGGGGATGTTCCAGGCTGAGGAGGAAAGGTGGCCCCAAATCTTGGACCTTTAGTCTCCTGTGAAGCAGAGAGTGCATTGTCTCTCTTCTAAGAGCAGTTCTTTGCAAAGGCTGATGTCTTAGTCACCTAGTGCTCCTATAACAGAAATACTGTGAGTAGGATGGCTTTAACATAGAGAAATGTGTTTTCTCACAGTTTAGGAGGGTAGAAGTCCGAATTCAGGGCACCAGCTCTAGGGGAAGGCTTTCCCTGTCTGTCAGTTCTGAGGGAAGGTCCTTCCTTGTTCCTTGGCTCCTTGGTGATCTTCATGTGGCCTGGTGTGGATCTCTCCCCCATCTCTGCTTCCTTCCTTCCTTACTTAATCTGCTCTTTTTATATCTCAAAGGAGACTGATTTAAGACACAGCCTACAATAATACTGTCTCATTGACATAAAAAGAAAACCCATTCCCAAATGGGCTTAAAAACCACAGTGGTTAGGATTTACCACACATATTTTTGGGGACACAATTCAATCCATAACAGCTGGCTATAGAGGGATTTTCAGAGTGAGAAGGGAAAAAATGAGCCTCAAACTGAGAAATCCAGGCTTTGGGACCACTGGAATGCTCATGTGTACCTACTAAGCAGCCTTTCCTCCTTCCCTTCCTTCCTTCCTACCTCCCTCCCTTCTTTCTTCCTTCCTTTTTTTCTTTTATTCTTTCTCCCTCTCCCCTATTCCTTTCTTCCTTCTTTCCTTCCTTTCTCTTTTTAAGATTTAAAAAATGTATCCTGGTGACACAAGCTTATTATAGAAAGATTACCAAATATAAAAGAAGGAAGATGGCAGATCTGCAGGAGGAACAGTTGTCTGATGAGAAGATGTTTAATTATTTTTTTATTCAGTTGAAGAATATTGAAATTCTGTGTGTCATTAAAATGTAAAATTTCCTATTAAAAAAAAAAGATTAGCAAATATAGATAGCAAAAGGAAGAAAATAAAAGTCACCACCCAGATTTCACCGCTGTCAAAATTTGAACGTATACCCTTTCAAACATATTTTCCTATTTATTAACCATTTCTTGCCCTTTAGGGAGTTTCCTTCCTGCATTGACCATGTTTGGCTGGGCCATGGTCTTGGTTGATTCTTTGTGAGCTATTTCCTGATTTGGAAATAACTGAAGAGGTATGAAAAACATTAGGCAAAAGTTAAAACAAGTTTCATAATAATTTTCATGTATTTTTTTTCTTTGCCTCTGTCTATTTTTTCTGTTACATAAAGATAGAGATGAAAGAAGGTAAAGAGGGAGGAAGAAAGTCTGGTGGGAAAACAACATATGAAAAATAAGAGAAAATCAACTAAAATTAAGAGGCATTAATATGTGCTAAATCAATTTGGGGAGTGGGGAGGGAGGCACAGAAAAACCATGTGGACCAGCATCTTTTCCTTCTTGTAGTGCATGCTGCCCAGGTGGACAAAGATAAATGGAAGACTAGTTAAGTCCGTTGTATAGACTGGAGCCTAGTGCTGGTATGATCAAGGACAGGCGGTCAATCACTGTGTTGACCGGTGAAGGTCCCTAAAAGATTCCAATGACAGGGGAGTGAGGGCGATTGGAAGGAATACCTCGTCAATGCAGGACATTGGTCACTGAGGCAGCATGGTGACAGCTGGAATGACTCAGCGTAATTGAACACCACTCCCAGGGGGGAAATGCCCCACAGCTTGTGCTCTGCAGATTGTTATCATAGCTTTTATGTGACCACACGTGGTAACCATGTTGGTTTGTTGGTTTCTTTGAATTACAGTTCAAGTTGCCTTGATATTTGGTGCAAGAATATTAGACTATGTCCTCAATTTGTGCCAAGGTAAATATGACTTCCTTGAACGGCTCTCGGACAGTTTGCTCCTGAGTATCATTTCCTACCTGGATCTTGAAGATATTGCCAGACTTTCGCAAACGTCGCACAGATTTGCAAAGGTAACAGCCAACTCTTTTGTGTCTATATAGAAATTTTCCGTGTGCTTTTTCAAAGGTGTTTTTAAAAAATACAGCCGTGGTTTATTTCCATTTATTTCAACAATTGGTTGTTTAGTACTTACGTTGCCACAGGCACTGTCTTAGGCACAGAAACAGCAGAGATGAAAGACATTATTCCTGCCCTTACGGAACTTACAGTGCTAAGCCATTTCCTCTGTCCAGCTTTACAGGGTTATTTTGTCTGGGTTTTGAGGGGAAAATAGGAGTTCACCTAGTGGTCTGGAGGACTGGGGGCATTCTAGGTCAAGGGAATAGCTCAGACAAAGGTATGGCAGCATAAGAGAATAAGGCAAGTAGCAACTACCAAACATCCATTTTTATTTCTTCCAGTAAAAGCCCTTTGCTGAATTAACGGTCTCCCAATGTGTGTGGTTTTTGTGGGACTGCCCAGCACAGTGCTCTGTCCTCTCCTATGCCCCAGAGACAGAAAACACCGTTGGTGCTGATTTCACCCAGGGTCAGGTTGTTAGTTCCTCTCCCAGGATCCCAGGAGGTGAGGTGTGTTGGTTCCTGATTCATAGCTGTTCCTTCATGTCTAGACTCCTACCCCCAATCCAAAAAGGAGCCCTGGTGGTGCAGTGGTTAAGCGCTCGACTGCTAACTGAAAGGTTAGCAGTTCAGACCCACCAGATGCTCCACAGGAGAAAGATGTGTCAGCCTGCTTTCGTAAAGATTACAGCCTTAGAAACCCTGTGGGGCAGTTCTAGTGTGTCCTATAGGATCGCTATGAGTCGGAATTGACTCAATGGCGATGGATTTTGATTTGGTTTTTACTGCCACTCCCCGAGCACACACATACCATCCTTCCATTAAATCCCTTTTTGGCTTAAGTGAATCAAAGTTGGAGTCTGTTGCTTACAACCAAAGAACCGTGACTTAGTTCAGTGTTTAGTTATAACATCTATTTATAAAAGAACACACAGTATTTTCCAGTATGATTCATATCCTGATCTTCTTATCTAAAAATTCAACATTTTTCACAATAATGCGATAACATTTCTTGATTTTTATATATTACTTTTAAGTAATATAGTCTGTATAATTTACTATATTCTTTTAGAGGGTAGATACATATATAATTATTTTTCCCCTTAAAAATTGAAGGCCAGCAACAAGTATTATGAGTAATCACTGTATTTTTTGCCATTTAAAAAAATGTATGAAAGTTGAGATTTTGCACTTGCTGCCAATAAGAAGCTGATTATTCACATGTTAGATGAAGGAGGAGAGTTTTAAGTAAATAAAACATACTTGTTAGTTGTTGTTAGGTGCTGTAGGGTCGATTCCTACTCATCGGGACCCCATGTACAACAGAACAAAACACCACCTGGTCACAACAGTTGCTACGTTTAAGCCCATTGTTGTAGCCACTGTGTGCGTCCATCTCGTTGAGGGTCTTCCTCTTTTTTGCTGACCCTCTACTTTACCAAGCATGATGTCCTTCTCCAGGGACTGCTCCCTCCTGATAACATGTCCAGAGTATGTGAGATGAAGTCTCACCATCTTCATTTCCAAGGAGCACTCTGGTTGTACTGTTTCCAAGACAGACTTGTTCTTTCTTCTAGCAGTCCATGGTATATTCAATATTCTTCACCAACCCCATAATTCAGAGGCATCTATTCTTCTTCAGTCTTCCTTATTCATTATCCAGCTTTCACATGCATATGAGGCAATTGAAAATACCATAGGTTCAGTCAGGTGCACCTTAGTTCTCAAGGTGACATCTTCACTTTTTAACACTTTAAAGAGGTCTTTTGCAGCAGATTTGCCCAACACAACACATCATTTGATACCTTGACTGCTGCTTCCACGGGTGTTGATTGTGGATACAAGTAAAAGGAAATCCTTGACAACTTCAGTATTTTCTTCATTTATCATGATGTTGCTTACTGGTCCAGTTGTGAGGGCCTTTGTTTTCTTTATGTTGAGGTGTAATCCATACTGAAGACTGTAGTCTTTGATCTTCATTAGTAAGTGCTATTAAGTACTCCTCACTTTCCACAAGCAAGGTTGTTAATGAGTCTTCCTTCAATCGTGATGTTGTATTCTTCTTCATATAGTCCACCTTCTCAGATTATTTGCTCAGCATACAGACTGAATGAGTATGATGAAAGGATACAACCCTGACACACACCTTTCCTGATTTTAAACCACATGTATATGGTTTAAAATAAAGTATACTAATGAGAATCTAAAGGAGCACCGATGGCGTAATGGTTAAAGCTCTCGTCTGCTAACCATAAGGTTGGTACTTCAAACCCACCCAGCTGCTCCACACTAGAAAGACCTGGCAATCTGTTCCTGTAATATTACAGCCTAGAAAACCCTTTTGGACAGTTCTGCTTTTGTCACATGGAGTCGCTGTAAGTCGAAAATTGACTTGACAGCACCTAACAACAAGTGGGACTCTATTAAAAGCTTCTGCCAGGGCCTGGATTTGCTCCTTAATGTAAATGGAAGGAGTGGGTAGGAAACAGGAGCTGCTGCCATTTTCTTGTGGAATTTATTCCTTACCTTGAGCAATTGCCTTCTCTCCAAGTTGTATGCATTTCCACTCTGTATTGTGCTCCATCTCAATGTCCTGCCATTATTTTAGTGCAGTCCTAAAAATGTCCTCTGTAATTTACTCAGTGTTCTAAAGCCAGGCTTTTCTGGGTTGTATTTCAGCCCTCAGTATCCTTACAGAGCAGAGTTATTAGAAGACGGAGCGTGGTCCAGTATC